TTTAAAGAGAGAGAGAATTTTTTTTAATATTTGTTTTTTAGTTTTTGGCAGACACAACATCTTTGTTTGTATGTGGTGCTGAGGATCGAACCCGGGCCGCATGCATGCCAGGCRAGCCCGCTACCACTTGAGCCACATCCCCAGCCCTGATAATATGATTTTAAAGTAATAAAAAGTATCTTGAATATTCAAAACAATTTTGGAAAACAAAAGTCAGGCATTCATAATACATACTTGTAATCCCAGCTACTTGGAGGCTGAGACAGAAGAATCTCAAGTTCAAGGCCAGCCTCAGCAATTTAGTAAGACTCTGTCTCAAAATAAAAWTTTTTTAAAGGGGTAGGAATATAGCTCAGTGGTAAAGTAACCCTGGGTTCAATCCCCAGTACCAAAAAAAAAAAAAGGAACAGAGTTGGAGGATGCATTTGATTTGATTTTAAGATGTAAAAAGTCACAAGGCAAAGGAGGAAAGAAATATACCAACAGAATAAAGTACAAAAATAGAGCCACATTTTGTATGTGTAAGGGCAAATATAAAAGAAAAATAAGGGCTTTAATTATCCCTTTTGAAAATTATGGAAGAAATTCTCCCCTAACTAATCTCCCCCACCGGACCCCGCAACCTTTTCTTTCAAATTTTCTGCCTGTTGTATGTATATTATAAACTCTAAAAATAGTCACACAAATCAGGAATGTTTCAAGTACCTAGAAGCCATCCCTTTAAATTGCACACATCCAAAGAAACAACGCCCCTATCTCACAGATCCCAAGGGAAAGAAGGAGGGCACCTTACTACAATTTACAAAATTATCTCCTATGATAAAGCAATCTGTTTCTCCAAGTAAAACTACACAAGGCATCTYCCCAATTACCATAAATTGGGTGAAGCATTCTTGACAAAAAGTGTTGTCAAGTCCTCTTACTTAAGGACTACTGTTTGTTTATTTATTTATTTACTTATTTATTATTTTGGTTCTGGGGATTGAACTCAGGGGCACTGACCATTGGGCCACATACCCAGCCCTATTTTGTATTTTATTTAGAGATACTAAATATCACTGAGTTGCTTAGCGGCTCAATTTTGCTGTGGCTGTCTTTGAACTGGTGATCCTCCTGTCTAAGTGTCCCAACCTCCAGAGCTGCTGGGATTACAGGCATGAGCCACTGTGCCCAGCCTTACTTCTTATCTTGAAAGCATTGTAATACGTTGTTTCTCCTTGGTTATATAAGGGGGTAAGATCCTGGTCTTTGCCATCTGTCAGAGGTTTACTTGTGATGTATATCACATTCAGATTTTTCTTTTCTTCTTCATTTTTTTTTTTTTTTTTTTTTTTGTGGTACTGGGGATTGAATCCAGCACCTTGTGCATGCAAGGCAAACACTCTACTGAGCTATATCCCCAGCCCCACATTCAGATTTAACAGCTATTCAATTATAACTGTTTTCTTTCTCTATCACCTTTTCAGAGTGTTTTTCTGGTTTGGGGGAAGATTTTCTTTCTTCTTCTTCTTGTGTTTGTGCATGTGTGTGTGTGTGTGTGTGTGTCACTGGGAAATGAACTCACATATGCTAGTCAAGCTATATTCCCAGCTTTTTATTCCTTTTTTGTTTGAAACGGGGTCTTGATAGTTGCCCAGGCTGGCCTCAAACTTGTAACCCTCCTGCCTCATCTCCCGAGCAGCTAACTCTAAATTGTATTTACAACTGGGCACAGTGGCACATGCCTGTAATCCCAGCAGCTCGGGAGGCTGAGACAGGAGGATTGTGAGTTCAAAGCCAGCCTCAGGAAAAGCAAGGCACTAAGTAACTCAGTGAGATCCTGTCTCTAAATAAAATACAAAATAAGGCCGGGGATGTAGCTCGGTGGTCGAGTGCCCTTGAGTTCACTCRCCGGTACCCACCCCCCAAAAAAAAATTTAGTGTATTTCCTCAACAGTGGTCAATTTATTTTCCACAAAAGTGTCAAGGTAATTGAATGGGGAAAGCATAGTCTTTTGAACATAGGGTGTTGGAACAAATATACATCCATATGATACTCTAGCCCTAGGTGTACCATACTAAAAAATAAACTCAAATGGATTGTAGACCTAAATGTAAAGGTTAAAACTATAAACTTTCTCAAAGAAGGTGACTTTGGGTTAGGAGGATGCAAAATGCATGAACCACAAAAGAAAAAATGCAGTACACTGGACTTCATCAAAATTGTATCTTTTGTTCTCCAAGAGACACTATTACAAAATGCAAAAGCAAGCTACAAACTAGTAGAAAATATTTATAAAACGCATACCTGATAAAAGAATTCATACAGAAAATATATAAAGATCTCTCATAACTCAATCAGAAGACAAGGGATTTTGTTGCTGTTGTTGTTTAATGGGCAAAGACTGATTTGAAAAGCCTAAAATATTTACTAGAAAGCAGTCAATTCCTTCCCTTCACCCTAAACTGCTGACACCCAGTGAAATACATTTCCTTACTATAATTATATCTTCTCTAGAATTCTATGTGAATAAAAATCATATATATTCTGTGTCTGTTTTCTTAGGATGACATTTCTCTCTCCTCTCTCTCTCTCTCTCTCTCTCTCTCTCTCTCTCTCTCTCTCTCTCTCTCTCTCTCCCTCTTTTTTTAATGAAGATAGAGTAGTCTTGCTATGTTGCCCAGGCTGTTCTCCCAGGCTCAAGTGATCCTCCAGCTTCAGCCTTCTGGGTGCTGGGACTATAGGTGTGTGCACCATACCTGGCCAGAAAAAATGGGGTTTTTATGTTTTGCTTTTGCTGGGGATGAAACCCAGGACCTTGTGCATACTAGGCAAGTACTTCACCTCTGAGCTACATTCCCAGCCTTCAGATAATACTTTTGATTGCTGACTCCAGATTAAGAAAAAAGGCAATGAATGGATAGGAGCTTCAAGATGACCAAGATGTTGGAATTAGCAGAAAAATATTCTAAAGCCTCCATTTTAACTACATGAAGGGACAAAAGAAAATATGCTCACAAGGGAATAAACAAATAATAATTTTTGGCAGAGAAACTACAAAAAAAAAATAGAGTTAGGGTTGTGGCTCTGTAGTAGAGCAGTTGCTTGGCACATGTGAGGCACCAGGTTCGATCCTCAGAATCACATAAAATTAAACAAACACATTTAAAAAAAGAACTAAACTGAAATGACAGAACTGAGAAATAACAACACTGGAAATATGAAATTCAAATTCACTGCATGGGCTTAATCACAAGAATGAAAATGATATAAGGAAAAGTAAGTAAATTAAAAATACAATAGAAATTATACAATATAAGAAATAAAATTAAAAAGATTGGAAAGAGCTGGGCATGGTGGCACATGCCTATAATCCCAGCAACTTGGGAGGCTGAGGCAGGAGGACCACAGGTTTGAAGCCAGCCTCAGCAACTTAGCAAGATTTTGTCTTAAAATAAAAAATAAAAAAGGAGTGGGGATGTGGYTCGGTGGCTAACTGCCCTTGGGTTCAATCCCTGGTACTAAAAGACTGGAAAGAAACAGCAAGAAGAGACTTGTTGAGCTGTAGGACAATATCAAAGTCTTACACATGTGGACATGGAGTCCAGGAGAAAAAGACGAAATGGGGCAGAGAAAATAATTGAAAATTATGCCACAAAAATTTAAAAATTTTGGTAAAAGACACAACTTTATAGATTAAGAAACTCAGAAAATTCTCAACATAAAAAATATGAAGAGAACCACACCCGAAAGTCAAATAGCTAAAAACTAAAGAAAATGAGAAAATCTTGGGGAGTAAATAGTGACATAATACAGAAAAAACAACATCAATTGTCACTTACTTCTCATCAAAAATAATAAGAACCATGGGGGGGAGGGGGATAGTAGAGGATAGGAAAKGTAGCAGAATACAACAGTTACTAGTATGGCATTATGTAAAAATGTGAATGTGTAACCGATGTGATTCTGCAATCTGTATTTGGGGTAAAAACTCACTTGAAACTAATGTTTGAAATATGATATGTCAAGAGCTTTGTAAGGTTTTGAACAACCAATAAAAAAAATAAAAAAAATCATACATATAAAAAATAATAATAATAATAAGAACCAATTTAGTTTATAACACCTTTAACTGGGTCTTGCTAGGTTGCCTAAGCCTGTGAGAGGCCATCCTCGCAGGTGATTTGAGTTACCTCCCTGGCTGGGCGAGAGGCGCTTAGACACATCTTTGTGTCCAGAGCTTTCCCCACCCTTCTCAGGTCCAAGGGCTTGTCTGTGTGGAGGCGTGTCTAGCCACTACCCTGAAGACCCAATCATCGCACCAGACCTTGGGACACTGACCCCCTTAATCTTCATTGGATGGGATTTTCCCCAGAATTTTTTGTTCCCCAATAAAAGTCCACTCCCTGGCATGCTCTCTCTCGCCTCTTCAGTAAACCTCGCTACCATAATAGGTAGCTTGAGGCTGGAGCTAGGAGAAGCCGCCCTGGAGCTGGTTTAAAGGTAATTAGAGCCTGTCTCTTTAATTCAAAACTCCCATGGATTTCTCACACAACTGAACCTTCATTTATGAAGCCTGTGTTGGCCTTGGGGTAAGTAAGCCAGTCCCAAACGTGTGATTCTCCTGCCTCAGCCTCCCAAGTAGCTGGTATTACAGACCTGCACCACTATGCCTAGCTCACACATCAAAATTTTGATCATATACAGAACTCAATAATTAACTGCTATAATTTCTTTCTTCTTTTTTCTTTCTGGTGCTAGAGATTTAACCAAGGGCTCTATACATAGGTGCTCTACCACTGGGCTATACCCCAGTCCCTTAACTTTATAAATTTTTAATGTTATTAAAAAATACTGGTACCTTTTTTCTATTAAGTCTAACAGAATACTGAGAATGCTAAATCATTGGAGAATTTTATTTGTGTGCTTATTTTTCAAATAAAAACCAGACTGAAAGAAACTACAACACAAATGAAAGTGGCCCCATATGCACACATGTACACATACGCACATTAATTACCTTCTGCCCTTCTCACACAGCTTCTCAATTTCAGCTTTCAGATCCTGTTCCTTCTGCAAAAACTCCTTCTTTTCTTTCTCTATCTTCTTTTTTGTTTCTTCTCGCTTTATTGTCACATCCTGTATAGCCTTTAATATCTCCTAAATCCCACAAAATTACAGTCACACACAAATAAAGAAAGAAAGAAATTAGTTCTTTTGATCTGAAGGTTGTGTTCAACAATCACATATACATATTGATTTTAGTGGATTCAAATTGAATTGAAAGAAATATGGTTGTTGAGCAACTCTAAAAGTCAGAATTCAGACTGCAGGGAGAAAGTTACAGGAACACAGACTTCAATTCAACAGGAAAAAAATGTATAATAATCACACCGTTCAAAAATGAAACACACTGCCTTGTGAAGCAATAAGTTCTCCATTTTTGGTGCTCAAATGTCAAATGAACACCCCTCAAGACTGCTGGGAAAGGCATTCTTGCTGTAGGAGGGAGTTTGTTGCATCCAACAAATTGGTCTTGTTTTGTTACAGTTCTACTCATGTTCCACTTGTTATATGTATGGGTTTTCTGTTTATTTGACTTTTTTATTATTTAACAGCAAATAAGAAGTCAAACAATACAAAAGTATTGAAGTTAAATTACCCCCAAGTTCATACCACTTCCACCCATAAGGGCAATCAATGTATTAACTGTTCTTATTATGACTGCACATTTTCTCAATTCTCAAACAAATACACATGTAACTTATATATGTATTTCTTTGGCTTTTTTTTTTTTTTAAGCATTCCTGGGGATCAAACCTAGAGTCTTGATCATGCAAAGCACACAATCTACCACTGAATTATATCCTCCATCCCGTTTTTCTTTTTTTATGAAGTTATTTTATATTCATTATTTTACATTGTGCTTTTTTCCACTTGGACAACATACATCAATAACTACAGATATAATTCAAAAATACGTAGCTGCATAATAGGACATCACATAGACATATCCAATTTATCCTGATGAACTGTTAAAAGACCTTTGGTTTATTCCAACTTTTTTTGTAATTTTACTTCTTATCACACAAAAAAATCTTTCCTGATTTTTCTCTAGATTTTTTTTTACTTTTACCATGAATTTGTAGAAATCTTCAGAATGTCATAAACATTAAATTTTTTTATGAGGGGCTAGGGTTGTGGCTCAGTGGTAAAGTAYTCACCTAACATGCGTGAGACACTGGGTTCGATCCTTAGTACCACATAAAAATAAAGTTATAAAAAAGGTGTTTTAAAAAAAATTTTTTTTGAAATGTGCTAAAAATATTTTCTCTCTCTCAGCAGGTTATTATATTGTTTTGTACTAGGGATTGAACTCAAGGGCACTCAACCACTAATCCACTTCCCCAGCCTTATTTTGCATTTTTATTTAGAGACAGGGACTCACTGTTGTTGAGGCTGGCTTTGAACTCATGATCCTCTAGTCTCAGCCTCACAGGCTGCTGGGATTACAAGCATGCACCACTGCACCCAGCTGGTATTTTTAATTATAGATAATTAAATTCTGGGTTTTGTGCCTTGCTTAAACTGCAATAAACATTCTATGTCTATACTTTCATACATAAATTTGTGCCTGTAGAATGGACTCCCAATAATGAGACTGGTCAAAGTAGAAGCATATTTTAAATTTTAACTGACAATTCCTAATAACTAATGAGGTCATCATAATTCACACTCTTACTAATCATGTCTACAAGAGTTCACTTTACCTCATGCTTGACAACTTATTTCATTTTAGCCCATCACTTGGGGGAGTAAAGAATAGTATCCAATAATATTAACTTCCCTAACTTTCATTCTTTGTTTTATACCAGGGATTGAACTCAGGAGCACCTGGCCATTGAGCCACATCCCTGGCCCTATTCTGTATTTTATTTAGAGAGAGGGTCTCACTGAGTTGCTTAGTGCCTCACTTTTTTGTGGCTTTGAACTCACAATCCTCCTGCCTCAGCCTCCTGAGCCACTGGGATTACAGGCATGTGCTTCATGCCTGGCATTCTTTATTGTTTTTACTGTTTGATTTCAACTAAAATAAGCATTCAGTGAATGCTTAATAATGTTTTGTTCATTACTAAATGTCCAAAACTTACATCAAACACTCTAAAAATATTTTCTGAATGAATGAGTACCTGTGAGTCTGAGCTTCTTTCCAATTATTTACAATCATTTTGCTTTTCCTCTTCTATGAATTACTATTTATAACTATAGTAGGCAAAATAATACCCTCCCCCAAGATATCCATGTTCTAATCCCTAAAACCTATTTATTATGTTACCTTCCACAGCAAAAGAGACTTTGAAGATGTAACTATGGTAAGGACCTTAAAATAGGGAGATTAACCTGGACTATCTGGGTGGGCCTAATATAATCACCTAAATCCTTAAAAGTAGAGAACAATTACCAGTTGTGATCAGAGCACAGGAGATAAAGATCAAAGAGACACTGTTGTTGCTTTCAAGATGAAGGGGCCCTTAAGTCAAAGAATGAAGGCAGGCTTTACAAGCTACAGACAAGGAAGAGTTGGCCCTAGAACTCTCAGAAAGGAACACAGTCCTACTAGTACTTTGACTTTAGCCCAGTGACACTTTATGTAGACTTTTTTTTCCCCTTTGGGTACCAAGGAGTGAACTTGGGGGCACTCAATCACTGAGCCACATCCCCAGCTATATTTTGAACTTTAGAGACAGGTTCTCACTGAGTTGCTTAGTGCCTCACTTTTGCTGAGGATGGCTTTGAACTCGAGATTCTCCTGCCTCATCCTTCAGAGCCGCTGGGATTACAGGTGTAAGCCACCATACCCAGCTTAATGTAGACTTTAAGCTGCTAAACCCATAATGATTTGTTACATGAGCAATAGGAAAATAACATAATAACCTTTCCTGATTTTTTCTCTAGATTGATTTTTACCATGAATGTGAGCTATCTTCAGAATGTCAGAAATTATATCTGGTCAGATGTGCTAAATACATATATATACACACACACACACACACACACACATATATATACACATATATACACACACAGGTATGTACATATATATGTATACATACACATATATGTATGTATATATACATTTTTTTTTGCTAAAAACATTTCCACTCAGTTTAACAATCTTTCAACTAATTTTTACATCACTTGGTATTTTTAATTATATGTAATTAAATTAATTAATTAATTTTTTATGGCTTCTGGGTTTTCTGCCTTGCTTAAAGTGACCTCTTAAAATTTGAGGTTTTATAAATACTCCCCTAAATTTTCTTCTACGTTCAACTTTTTTCCAGTTTTTATATATAGATTTTTAATCTACTTATGAATGTATTTTTCCAAATAACATAAGATGTCAACAAAATATATTAAATAATCTTTTCCTCTCTGAACTAAAATCAGATTTATCCCCTGGATAACAGGATTGATTTTATTCTTAAACTTCTATGACAACCATTAAAAAGTAAATATCGCTTTTCTTTTTCTACTAAGAAACAAACTTAAAAGTCTGATCAGGGGCTGAGGTTGTGGCTCAGTGATAAGAGTGCTCACCTAGCATGCATGAGGCATTGGGTTCAATCCTCAGCACCACATAAAAATAAAAATATTGTGCCCACCTAAAACTGAAAAATAAATATTAAAAAAAAAGTCTGATCAGAACTGTTGCTTTACTCTTTGATTTTTTTTTTTTTTTTTTTGTGTGTGTGTGTGGTTGTAGATGGACAGAATGCCTTTATTTTACTTGTTTATTTTTATGTGGTGCTGAGGATCGAACCCAGTGCCTCATGCATGCTAGGCAAGCACTCTACCACTGAGCTACAGCCCCAGCCCTGATTTTTTTCTTTTTAATATTTATTTTTTAGTTGTAGTTGAACACAAAACCTTTATTTATTTATTTTTATGTGGTGCTGAGGATCGAACCCAGTGCCTCATGCATGCTAGGCAAGCACTCTACCACTGAGCTACAGCCCCAGCCCTGATTTTTTTCTTTTTAATATTTATTTTTTAGTTGTAGTTGAACACAAAACCTTTATTTATTTATTTTTATGTGGTGCTGAGGATGGAACCCAGGGCCTTGCACATGCCACGCAAGCGCTCTACACCTAAGCCACAACCTCAGTTCTCTTTTTTGCAAATGCAAGACAAATACTCTCCCACTGAGTTATATCTCCAGTTCAAAAATTTTAATAAGTAAACTACCTGGTGATTCTTCATTTCTTCTTCTCTCCTCTGCTGAAGTTGCTTTAATTGCACTTGGAGTTGATTCTCCACCTGCCTCTGCTTGTCCAGGACTTCCTGGTAACGTTCTTTTAATAGGGTTCTCTCTGTCATCATTTTGTCCTATTGGAAAAAACAAGTTTATTTTCCAATTTAAACGTATGAAACAATCACTAAATGCCTAACCAAGACATTATACAGAGTTCTAAAGCTGTGATGTCAATACAGTAGCTACTAGCCAGATGTGGATAGGTAAAATTAATCAAAATAATAAACTAGAAACAAACAGACCCTCAATTACCTAGGCACACCTCAAATACTCAAAAGCCAAATATGATTAGTGGCTACTACACCAAACAACTAGGTTAACAGAACATTTCTACCACTACAGAAATTTCTGTTATACAACACTGCTACAAAGCAGGGGTTGGCAATCTATGGCATGTGGGACAAATCCAGTCATCGCATGTTTTATGCTTTTTGGTTTTTGTGGTACTGGGGATTGAACCCTGGTTCTTGTGCATACAAGGCAAGCAGTCTACCAACTGAACTATATCCCCAGCCCCTCATCGCATGTTTTTATAAGTAAGTTTTATTAGAACAAAGCCATGCCCATTGGTTTAAAGATTGCTTTCAAACTATAACAGCAAAGTGGAAAGATTACAATAAATGCCACACAATCCACAGAACCTATCTGGTCCTTTAAAGAAAATGTTTGGGCTGGGGATATGGCTCAAGCGGTAGCGCGCTCGCCTGGCATGTGTGTGGCCCGGGTTCGATCCTCAGCACCACATACAAACAAAGATGTTGTGTCCGCCGAAAACTAAAAAATAAATATTAAAAATGTCTCTCTCTCACTCTCTCTCACTCTTTCTTTAAAAAAAAAAAAAAAGAAAAGAAAAGAAAATGTTTGCCCACCACTGTTACTAGGGATAAGAGAAAGGAGATATTTTATCGTCCATTAGGAGAGAGAAAAAAATAATACGCCAGAACAAAGAACAGATCACCTACTCAAAGAATAGGAAGCTTACCAATCATTAGCACTGACAACTGACACATCCACTAAAGAAGTCTGGGCAACCTCATATTCAGAATGATCGACTCAGAAAGCTCACATAAACTAGGGATTAGAAGTGATGATTGTGAGGACCACAATATGGCTCTGCCTCCCTCTCATCAGCAAATTAAGGAAAGCAATGGTCACCTCTCAAATGAACATTAAAACTTAAAAGAGTCAATTTAAAACAAATTTGGTATAAGGTAGTTCTTGTAAAAATTAAACCAAGAGTATTAAGCTGAATTTGTTCTCTAAAGGATGATTATTTTTTCAAGAAAATAAAGTTCCTGAAAGTGAGTATTAGAAAACCTATATTGTATTATCATCATAAAAAACAGGCTCTCGGGCTGGGATTGTGGCTCAGCGGTAGAGCGCTTGCCTAGCACGAGTGGGACCCGGGTTCGATCTTCAGCATCACATAAAAATAAAGGCATTGTGTTATGTCCATCTACACCTAAAAAATAAATATTAAAAAAAACACACACACACAAAAAAAACAGGCTCTCAAGATGGTTAACTTTGAGATGAACCAGTCCTCAGTCCATGTACCAAAATGTGACCACATCACCCCAAAGAACTGATTCCTCAATATCACATCTTTGCAGAGATTATGAATGTAGGGTCTGTGGATAACCCCGGGGGATCTTTGAACTCTCTGAAATTGGGGTGTATATGTGCATTTTACTTTGATGACAATTAAAAGTTTTCAAAAGATTCTAAAAGAGGACATAAACATTGTTAACTTTGTTAACAAAGTTTAAGAATCAATAAGTGAACCAGAAGATTAAAGGATTCTTTTCTTTTTTAACCACAGCTCCTTTCCTTTACCTCCTTCACTCATAATACATCTTTTTATAATACATTTTTTTTTCTTTTTTCATTTTTTTTTGGTACTGGGGATTGAACTCAACGGGTGCTTTCCCACTGAGCTGCACCATCCGACATTTTTCTTTTTTTTTTTCCTAATTTTTTTTAATTGTCAATGGACTTTATATTTATTTATATACAGTGCTAAGAATCAAACCCAGTGCCTCACACATGCTAGGCAAGTGCTCTACCACTGAGCCATAATCCCGGCCCATCACCAGACATTTTGAGACAGGGTGTCACTAAGTTGCTTAGGCCCTCACTAAATGCCAAGGTTGGCCTTGAACTTGTGATCCTCCTTCCTTAGTCTCCCAAGTCTCTTGAGATTACAGGCATATTCCACTGTTTCCAGTTCTCCATGATACATCTTTAGAATAACACAGGAAAAAAGCATTAGTTTGCACCAAACACTTTTCCTTTCTATATTGTTGTTCTTTCAAGAAACACATCTTACCCTCAAGACCTCTTCTTCCTGATCCTAGGGTGTCTTTCCCAGATTGTTGGGAGATTGAGGCAGGAGGATCATTTGAGCCTGGGAGACCAGCCTGGCAAATATAGCAAGACCCCAGGGATTTGTAAAAGTAAAGTCCTCTAAGATTTAAAAACTAATTACCAAGGAATAAAATGGAAAAGATACATGTAAACAGTACATTAAAAAAAAAAAAAAAAAAAAAAAAAACTTGACAAGAGTTTGACTGGAAGCTCAATAATGTGACAAGATTACCAAAATTAGTCAATGTAAGCTTAAGAAATAGTGTCTAGAATAAGAGACTGAGACTCATTCTACTGTGGACTAATTATGCTATAATCTGAACTATTTCATTTGATTCATTTTTTTACATAAAAATAAAGGTACTGTACTGTGTCCATCAGATTTTAAAAGAAAGACTGATAAAATGGAACATACTTAAATGAAAGTAACCAGGATACAAGGATTAAATACTGGAAAAAATATCATAAAAAGAAGAATGCTAAAACAAACAAACCCAGCAACAACAAAACAAAACATTTCACCTGGAAAGATTTAGACTAAGCTGGGCATTACACCTGTGTAATCCCCAGCAACTAAGGAGGCTGAGAGGGAGTACTGCAAGTTCAAAATCAGCCTCAGCAACTGAGAGAGGCCCTAAGCAACTCAGTAAGACCCTGTCTCAAAATTTAAAAAGCTGCTAGTATGGCTTGGTGGTAAAGCACACCTGGGTTAAATCCCTAGTACCAAGAAAGGAAAAAAAAAAGAAAAAGAAAGAATTTGGATTTGAGGAGGAGGCACTGAAACACACACACACACACACACACACACACACACACACACTTTAAATTTATGTAGAGCTATTACACTCTCTGGAGTGAACAAGGAGATTCCTGCACTTTTTTCAACTGAGACAAAACGTTTCTAGATTTTTATACTTTAATGGTGTCATATAAAATGACACTTTTTTTTTTGATCATCAGAGAATCTGCTTTATTGGTGACCATATTTTCTTATAGATAACTTATTAGATCATTTTAATTTTTAGGGGTTTCAGATGAATCTCAAAAAGTTTAAAGAATAATGCACTATCATCCAAAGTTGAATTTATAAACAGACATCATTTATTTTAAAAAACAGCAATTCCTCAGAAAATCTATCCGAATATATTCTTTAATATATTAGCACTTCTAAATTTCTTTCCTATCTGACACTGAAAGTCAAATTTACTTGTACTGAAAAGTATCTTTTACTAGTAGTTGAGTACACTTTAAAGGTAAGTATGCTTGGGGCTAGGGATGTAGCTCAGTGTTAGAATATTTGCCTAGCATGAATAAAGCCCTGGGTTTCATCCCTAGCATTACAGGGGGAAAAAAATCCATATAAGGCTGCTGTCACTGTTCCAAATTCTTACCTTAAAGCAACTGTAAAATGACACTTTTAATACTTACCAGATTCTTTTCAATATCTTGATCTGTGTTCACCTCTGAATCTGCTGTCTTAAAATCAGTCTAAAAAGAAAGAAATAATATATTCAGAATTTTTCAGATTCTCTTTAAAAAAGGCAGAATTATTCCAGTACTTTCACTTAGAATCTGCCACAAACAACTAAGAAGCAAACTTTCTGCTCTGTCCCCTTATCACCTTCACAGTGAGAAGCAATGTAGTTCTGGCAAATGAACACCAACATCCACATTGCATCAATCATTTATCCCACAAAATAACCTGAATAAGACCCAAATTTGGACTGAGAAAGCCTCAAATCTGAGATGAGAATCTACTGTGCCCATACTTCCTCCTACAACAAAGCACACTAGTCACTATAAAGCAGGATACACTGTACTTCTTAACACGTAGGTCAGAGAATTAACAAGGATTCCTCCTGTAAGGACAAAGATGGGAAATATGAATGCTAATGACCTATACTCATCAATCACTCAGTGATTGATTATATGTAGCTCATAAAGCTCCTATTTACCATAAAATTAAACACTGGCTACTGGCTTTCTTATTTATGGAACAGCAGAATGAAGTCATTGCATGACATTGTATGAAAACAGTATGATGGGTGGTAGCAAAAACAAAAAATAAAAACAAAAAAATAAAAAACAAGACAGCATAGCTCTCCACCAAATATGAACTATCTCCTACCCTCAAAAAAAAAATAAAAAAAACAAAAACAAAAAAACCCCAAATTCCATTTTAGTAGTAGAAACTTGATACTTGACCTGTACAGCAATGTTCTGAGAAAGCTTCAGGGAAGAGCTATCCTGATCATCATCCTGATCCACTCTGACTCCTTCAACCCCATTTGCTGGAGGCACTACAGGTCGGAAATCCAAGCCTGTGTCCCTGCTACCTTCCTTTGGGATGGAGGCTTGTGGGGATTTCTCTTCAGAGCAATTCCCGGAGGCAAGCTGCTTTGTATGGCACCCTGCCTTAAGAGACCGAGTGACTGGATGGAGGCTCTCCTGGAGGCTTGTGTCCCCCTCCTCTCCTGCTGTGCTGGCCAAGTCCTTCAAATCAGACTGAGACCCACTGCCAGAAAGACACAGGGCTGTGGCTATCAAGTTTTCTCCTAAAACCTCCTGATGCGCTGCTGAAGTGTCACCCGCTGATGAACCAGGATTCTGCTCTGGGTGTTCCAAATGGACATTTCTGTTATTCTCCTTGGTTATCGTTTGGCTACTTACACTCGATGGAGGTGAGTTCTTCTGCTTCTGCGCTGGGTCTTTGGGGCTATGAAAAACACAAGGTAAAAAGTTTCTAAGTTCTGGATGTTGCTCAGTGGTAAAGCACTTGCCTAGCAGACATGAGGCCCTGGGTTTGATCTCCAGCATTACCAAAAAAACAAAATAAACAAAAAAGATGGTTTTTTTCTCACCCAATCCAGTCTTAAAAAGGATTACATATCAGAATGACAAAGAATTTTATTTCTATCCAATAACTTGTATTCCATATACAGGTAAGAACCTGGGTTCTGGAGACAGTCTATAGCCAATGTCTAAACATAAATGACCTTGAAGATCTAAAAAAGTGTTTTGAGGGCCCATATGAATAATTTTGGGAATATAGGTAAAATAACCTAATGTTTATTGGAATATTTAGCTACTCATAACATTTTCTTTTTTTTTTTTTTTTTAATATTTATTTTTTAGTTCTCGGCGGACACAACATCTTTGTTGGTATGTGGTGTTGAGGATCGAACCCGGGCCGCACGCACGCCAGGCAAGCACGCTACCGCTTGAGCCACATCCCCAGCCCCATAACATTTTCATAAATAAAATATTAACTCAGAAATACTATTTGTATCTCACTCTCATATTCCACAAAAAATAAGTTCCCTTCAAACTCATTATAAATAGCTTTGGCCAGAACTACTACTTAAATTCAATAGTTTTTCAAAGCATAGCATCACCTCAACTTGTTTAAAGAACAATCCTTACACAACAATTGTTTAAGGATTCAATTTTGAATCCAAAATTGAAATTGCTGATAGAAATCTTATCCTGAACCACAAGCATACATATAATTAATACTGGGATAGTTATTTTGTCACTTATCACAGACGCTTTTTCCCCCAGTACTAGGGATAAAACCCAGAGCCTTGTATTTACTAAATACACATTCTCCACTGAGTTACATTCCCAGTCTATGTATTGTTTTTTGTTTTTTTTTTTGTACCAGGGATTGAACAACTGAGGGGCACTTGCCCACTGAGCTGCATCCCCAGCCCTATTTTGTACTTTATTTAGAGACAGGGTCTCACTGAGTTGCTCAATGCCTTGATTTTGCTGAGGCTGACTGACTTTGAATTCAAGATTCTCTTGTCTCAGCCTCCCAGCAGCTAGAATTACAGGCATGCACCACCACACCCAGCTGTGTATTACTTTTTAAGGCGATCTTTAAAACATATTTACAATGACATCCAACATTCACAGCTMTAAGTCTTCCACACATAGATATAATTCTATGTTAAAATTCTTCCCTTCCCTTCACCCCTTTCTTAAATGGTTCTGTCAACTGACCCCTTAAGCATCCCAAACTAGCAATGATTGAGGCTTCAAGTCAATGTGTCTGCCTTTCCTCAATACCACTTGTCCAAAATAAAACTGAGAGAGTATCTGTGATATAGACATCTTTATCAACAGCTTAAGCTGATTCCTTCTTGCTGGCAGTTAACTGTGAGCTGAGAGAAAAGAACTTATTTTAAATCTGGTATATAGAATGCCAGGTTTGAATCCTAACTCTTAACACGTATTAGCTGTTTGACTCTAGGCAAGTTATTTTATTTATAAAATAGAAATAATATAACCCACCTAATAGTATAAGAATTCCATGAGATGATATATTTATTTATTACAGAGTAGCCAGCGTATAGTAGTATAGTAAACACTTAATAACCCTTAGCTGCTATTATTATTAATAGTAGTATGTGGTTGATTTTATTTATACAAAATGAATAAAGACTTAAAGATCCAAGTTTATGATTAGGTTTGACCCATTCACTAACAAGCATCTCTTTTTTTTTTTCTTTTTTGGTCCTGGGGATTTAACACATAGCTACATCTCCAGCCTTTTTTTTTTTTTTTTTTTTTTTTGGTACTGGGGATTGAACTTAGACACACTTGACCACTGAGCTACATCCCCAGTCCTATTTTGTATTTTATTTTTTAGAGACAAGGGCTCACTGAGTTGCTTAGTGCCTCACTTTTAACTTTCGATCTTCCTGCCTCAGTCTCCTGAGCCGCTGGGATTACAGGCATGTGCACCACACCCGGCTTCCCAGTCTTTTTTTATTTTTTATTTTCATTATTTTGAGACAGGATCTTGCTAAGTTGCTTAGGGCCTTACTAAATTGCTGAGGCTGGCGGTCAAACTTGAGATCCTCCTCCGTCAGCCTCCTGAGTCACTGAAATTATAAGCATGCATCACTATGCCTTGCTTATTTTTTGAGACAGAGTCTCATTAAGTTGCTCAAGCTGGCCTGGACCTTGCAATCCTCAGCATCTCATGTCACTGGGATTATAGATGTGTACCACTGCACCTAGCAACACATCTCTTATTTGAAACAAATGTTTAAGTTATCTGGAGTCAGACAAACCTTGGTTTAAACCCTGACTCCAACATGGCTTGATAACCTTGGGCAAGTTACTAACCTCTCTGTGTCTTAGTTTCTTCAACTATAAGTGGAAGCAATAATATTAGCACCTACCACCTAGGACTAATATGAAGATTAAATGTTTAATATGTACAAAGTTGTTAGGGGCTGGGGATATAGCTCAGTTGGTAGAGTGTTGCACCACATGAACAAGGCCCTGACTTCATCCCCAGCACCAAAAAAAAAGTTGTTAGGATGATATTATTATGTTAAGTCCCAGGTACTTTAATCAACTTAATTCAACATGGCACATAACTAAGTATTAACCACTGATGCAAGATTGGTAATTGCAATTCTTACCCTTGAGAGTATGGATGGGAGGCAAAATGTGCACATGAAGTACTAGGCAATATTAACCAAGATATCTAGATAGGCAGATACACAGACATATCTGCATTTGTATATGTATATATATGTATATATATATGTATATATCTGTATCTATCTACATAACAAAGTATTTTATAAATGAGTATGATATATAAACATAAGTTTAAATGAATACATACAATTTATATAGGGCAGAGAGGGGAAATATTTACATTTTTTTATGAATTGATGCATGTATTCTAACCTATTTATTCAACAGACATTTAGCATGCCTACTGAGTGTAAGATACTTTGTTGGATACCAAAAATACAGACAGATCAGGCAGCCCCTACCTTTAGAAAGTTTAATCTACTGCAGTGTCATTAGAGCTCAAGAGGAAAGACCAGCTACAGAAGTCCATCTCAAAAGTCCTTTACCCAATTGAACCTTCCCTGTCAAGAATGCAGACATTACCTTAGACCATCTGGGAGACTTTCTTCTGATTTGGAAGCACATAAACTAGAAGAGGATTCCGGAGGATTGGAGGCATTGGCCATAACACCAGCCACCTCAGATGCTGCCATCGCGCTCTGCACATTCAGAAACAAATTACAGGCTACAAGTTTCAAAAGTTTAAAATGAATGTATCTTTCCCCCTCAGAATACCCACTCAACAGTTGCTCCAAGAAATACACACAAGGAAAATCTTGGGCTCCAGGAGAAAATATTTAACACTATTCTGCAGTAGGGTATTAAAAGGGTCACAGCATGCAATAGGTCCCAGTGGACATCAATCTTCAGGAGTCACTTTATTTACATAAATATCTAGGAGTTCAAACAAAGTTTTTATTTATTTTTAAGAAATGCAGTCATTTAAAATAGATCATAATTTGTGAGAGTCTTACAAATGGTACACACACCTATCTTGTCTACTATCACAAAAGATGTTTTAGGCCTAGCATCAATAATATTTTATGTTTTTAAATCACTTTATGGCCGTTCCATCTAAAGCATTCTCCATTAACTTAAATAAAGTTTTTTTGGAAGTGATTGCAAGAAGCAGCAATCGATATTGGCAACTCCAATATTATTTTTCACTCCCTCAATGCGTTCCCTCCACACAAATGGGAAAAGTCTGATACCCATGGCTGGAGCAAAGTACAGACTCTTAGGAGTTAGCACAGTGGTGCAAAAAAGAACTTGGTTAGCATGAAAATGAGAAGCAGAAAAACATAGTAACACTGGTAAGGAAACCCAGAAGATGCCTTTTTTCCCCTCCACCAAAAAGTCATCCTTTTTGCTGCAAACTCATGACCTTCTATGGTAAGATGGAAAACAAAAACAAAAACAACCAACCAACCCTTGGGAGGTGAGGGGTGAACACAGCCTTGGTTTACATTCTTGTTTTTATTTTGACAGCACCCCAGTGATACCCCTGAACCCTGAAGAGTGCACAGAGCAGATAAGGAGACCAGGCTGTGTCAACACTTCAAGCACCGCCTGTGTCTCAGTTTCTCTCATTATATAAAGCTCCTGGGAAGAAGAGACCCCAAATCGCCATTACTCTTAAGTGCAAATATTCCTCCAACAATGTCTAGGGTCGGGGTCATCGGTGCCGGGTAAACGGAACGACAGGGCAAGGGTCGTAACATGCAGTTCCGTGGCCAGAGCCCAACCGGGGCGGGGGTGGGGAGGTACATTTGGCTGGAGGGCCGTGTGTGCCCAAGGGAATCCCGCAATCCCCCGGCGGCCACCAGCAAGGTGGCGACGCCAGGGGCGACGGGTCCTCAGAAGAGAACGGAAAGGGGACAAAGGGGTGAAGCAGCGGCGGGGGTCCTAGCCACCCTCAACAGGGGACTGCTACGCTGGCCGCTTGCTTCGGCCAAAGCCACCTCCACACCTTCCCCTTATCGCCCCCCCCCAACGCCGCTTCCAGCCCGGGTCCCACTTCTAGGCCAGGATACCCGCCCCCGTCCTCGCAGCACCCTCCACGCCCCCCACCACGACCCCCGCCCCCACCCCTCCACCCCGCAGCGCGCCCCCCCCCCCGGCGCACGCGCCCCGCACACACCTCCCGCGCCGCGCCCCCGGGAGGAAGGGGGGAGGGACGGGACGCACCTGAGCGGGCGGAGCGGGGGGAGGGGGCGGCCGAGCCACGGGGGAGGGGTCGAGCGCCGGCCCGCGCGCGACACCTCCCACTTCCGGCGGCACGAGCGGAGGGGGCGAGGCTCGGGCAGCGAGAGGAAAGGCCGCGTAGGCTCCGCGCCTCCCCCGACGGCGCCCTCTGGCGGCTACAGTTAGAACCACCCGGAGCGCAGGGATGCTGGCGAAGACCCTTGAGATGTAAGTGGACCCTGCGTCGGCGCCAGGAAGAGGGATTTCTGACCGCGAGAAAGAAGGAGGCCTAGTGGAGACAAGAGCCCTTCTGGGACTGCTACAGGGAGAGTCAGGGCCATAACGGTCAGAGGAAGAAGAGCAACGAGGTTGTGTTTTAAGGTCGGAACCGAAAGGCCCTTTTTCAAGGACGCCATGAAGAAATACACTCTGGGGAGGGATCCTGTTGAAGATGCCCAGAGGACTCGGGCGTTGGAGCCCCGTGCGCTAAGCCGAAGCCCCGCACGCCGCTCCGTGGAGGCCGCCTGCAGGCTCCGTCCCGGAGCACCGGTTGCTGGGCCCGGCGGGTTGGGGGTGCTGGAGGACCCTCCGCTGATTGGCTGCGGCGTCCGGGCGGAAGTGATGCTGCTGTCACTGGCTCCTGGGCTCCCGGGAAGCCGCGAGTTTCCGCAGGGAGGCGGCGGCGGCAGCCGCGGCCGGGCTGGTGAGTTGGGAAGTAGAGGGGGGCTGGACATTGGAAGTCCGGGTGGTCCAGAACTGGGGGAGCCGGCGCCTAAGGAAGAGGGCGCTGCTCAGAGGCGCTTTTAGTCCTGGTGCGAGGCCTCCCAGAGGTTCAGGGCCCTGGTCCTAATGAAGAGAGGGGCACCTTATTCGAAGCAGTTGAGGACAAGGGAGGGGGAATCGGTGAAACAAGTCCCTGTACTTGACTTAGTTCGAGCAGGGTGTAGAGGCGGCCAGGAGTCTTTAAAGGCAGAATCTTGGACTTCGAGTTGCCCTTCTTCCTTGAGAAGAAGGTAAAGATAGGCCCAGCAGATGGGCGAGGTGGAGATCTGCTTTCAAAAGGTGTTTAAGATTACTTCCCCAGAAGTCCAGGGGACAAAAGTGCTGATCTGCTCCCGGGAGACAGGAAGGGTTCGAGTTTCTCTTTCTTCCGGCAATCTGGGTGGGATGTACTGAGACTGAAGAGCCTGCCTAGATGGCTCATTCCCTGGCTACCCGCAAAATTTCATTTCCACTTAGTAGAGTATGCGGACTGGGAAAGACACCTGAATATCTTGAGACAATGGAAGCTACTAGAGGGCAGGGAAGAATTTGAGAGAGAATAAGCCCTGGAACCTAAGAGGAAAAGAGAGAGATGTGGAATGGAGAATCCTGGAGGGAAATGATAAGTGGCCTAAGTTCTCTCCCTTTCCAAGGAGTCTTCAGTAAAAACACATGTTTTGTTTTTTGGTTTTTTTCTAGAATGTTTTTAGTTGACTTCTTTTGGGTGTGTGTCGGAGTTCAAAGCTGGCCCCATGGTGGACTCAGTAGACAGCAGAGGCTTTTAAAGAAGCCTAACCACCCACATTTTGTCCCCATGGTTGCCCACCAGTTCTAATTTGACCCTTCTRTCTCTTTAAGAGCTTTTTAAGACCTTTTCCCTGGTTCTTTGGATCCTAAGCAATTAGAGGATAGGTTCAGAGCCCAAGCCTTGGCTTCCAAGCCAGCCTGTTGAGCTGGTTACAGGGGCRTCTCTTCGGTGCTGCTTTCCAGTCATTGCTTATCTCCCAGTTGCCCACTTGCCCTTTATACTGGTTTTGTTTTCATTCTCTGACTTTCTTCCTGTTTCACCTTGCCACCTCCCTAGGCTAACAGTTATTAAGCCTCTGCTAGGGCGTCTACAGAAACAAATGAAAAAGGATAGCTTGATAGGACAAGAGTAGAGTTGCTGGGTTTTGTACTGATTTGGCCTTAACTGTGCCAGTGCTGTTCCAGTCTAGGACCGGTCTTAGATTCCTGGCAATGATACTTATCATTGTCCAGCATCTTTGGTGACTGGTCCTTGGCTAGCCTCTGCTTGTTCCACTGGATTTGGTGGGACACTGTTTTCTGTTCTTAGGACCCACAGGTCTTCAACCTGTGCTCAGAGTCAACAGTTCTCACAGCAAAGGTGGCACTTTTTCTTCATTTGCATAAAATGAGGATGACGTGGTTAGCCAAATCAGAAGCTCAACCTCACAGAGAGTCCAGGTAGGAATGGGGTCCCATCGCATGGGAGTTAGCCCTGAGGACAACTGAACTGAAGTCCACTGGGGTATGAATTATGTCCCTTCTAAATAAAGAGGGGAAGGGTCCTCCTAAAAAACAGTCATGTTGCTACCAGTGTTTGTGGGCGTAACATGTACTTTGATCCCTGAGAGTGGCAACACTGGGAAGAGCAGGATGGTGCCTATGAGCAACAAGACCCTGCTTGTTTATCTGGTGTAGCAGAGTTTGGCCCATCATGCCATGGGAGGTCATCCACTGGGGTTAGTCCTGGCCTGTACTCCACCTGGGGCTTAGCTCCATTGGTTCAGGGTAAATATGATCAAAAAAAGAAGATCAAATGTTTCATAATGGGAATAGCAGATTGGTTTCCAGGGGCAACACACAGAGGACTCAAAGTTACCCTCTCAGACCCCTGTGGTTATCACCTCTTTTATTTCTTTTATTCCATTCTCTTTATCCACAGCCTGCTGCTCTGATGCCGAAGGGAAGACAGAAAGTGCCACACTTGGATGCCCCCCTGGGCCTACCCACCTGCCTGTGGCTGGAATTAGCCGGGCTCTTTTTATTGGTCCCCTGGGTCATGGGCCTGGCAGGGACAGGTGGGCTAGATGCCCAGGGCACAGGGGGGCTGAGCTGGGCTGTGCATCTAGACAGTCTGGAAGGTGAGAAAGAGGAAGAAAATCTGGAGCAGCGGGCACATGCTGTGGCCCAGGCAGCAGGATTGGTGAACGCCGGACGCATCGGAGAGCTCCAGGGCCACTACCTCTTTGTCCAGCCAGTTGGGCACAAGCAGGCCATGGAGGCRGAAGTCATCCGGCAACAGGCAGAGGCTGTGTTGGCCAGGCATGAAGCTGTGCGCTGGCACTCAGAGCAGAGGCTGCTGAAGCGGACCAAGCGCAGCGTCCACTTCAATGATCCAAAGTACCCACAGCAGTGGCACCTGGTGAGTCCAGCCCTGCAGTGTCCATTTCAGATGGAGAGGTTCTAGTCTAGTTCTTTAGTGGACTTTTCACCAAATCCCTCTTCACTTGTCCCATCCTTGGTCTGAGGGGCCGTTTCTGGGGGCTGAGTGGTATGGYACCCTCAGCCTCTACTTTCCCTGGACCCAGTGCACTATAGTGCTTAGGGCTTGAATGCTGCCCAGGCTTACATTGCAGCTCTGCCACGAACTAGATCTGTCTTCAGGCAAACTGCTTCACTTCTCTATGCCTCACTTTCCCCACCTGCAAAATGGTACCTACCTCCTAGAGTTAAGGCTAGAATAAGTGAATTAATATATATGAAGCACTTAGAACAATGCTTGGCACATAGGAGAAATTATTTCATATGTGATTAACTACTGACATTATTGCATAATAATTATATTATCCAACCTGTAACCCTAGCCACCATTTCACCCTGAATCACCCATGGGTGATGCCAACCTTCCCTGGAGGTCAGCGTCATGGCAGAGTTCTTATGTGCCTCTCTTGGTTCTGTTCCCTAGTACTCTTTTGATTTGTAACCTCTGTCTGGCTCTTTGGTGGAGTTCAAAGGTGAAAGGGTGTACTAACTGTAATTTGTCTATCTCTAGACTGTGTTGTGTGTCACTAGATTCCCACCCCATCTCTCCTGCAGAATAAYCGCCGGAGCCCTGGCAGGGATATCAACGTGACAGGTGTGTGGGAGCGCAATGTAACTGGACAAGGGGTGACAGTGGTGGTAGTGGACGATGGAGTGGAGCATACCATCCAGGACATTGCACCCAATTATGTGAGTGGCCTGGGTTGATCACTCCTACCCCATGTCATACCACCTTCTTCATGTTGCCTCAGTCTTATTCCCTTTCCTATAGGGCACTGAGCCAAACCAAACAGCCTGGAAGGTGGGGTGATAGTCTTCCTTCTCTCCTTTCCCTGCCAGCCTTCTAGGTTGGCAGTTAAGACACAACAGGTGGCTCCAATCCCAAGGGARAGCAATCCTCAGAGGTACTTCCTGCTTCCTATTGCTGCTCCCTCTCTGGTGTGAAGGAGTGGCCCAGTTAGGCAACTTCTTCCCTCTCCACCATCCTGAATACCTTCTGTTCTCTAAAGCATGACCTTCAGAGAGCCCTAAATCTCTTTTATCCAAAAGAGAAGATTATAATTCTTATAATTATATGTTCTTATACTAGGCCAGAGAGAAGGGTGCTGAGAGACATGGCACTTCTCAGTTCTGTCCCACTGTCTTTTGCTCATATCTTGTATCCTATGTGGTGTGAAGAAGATGGGCCTGCTGGCCTGGCTTGGAATCCTTGGAATCCTTTCTCTCCCTGACCCCTCTAACCAGTGAGTGACCACATGTCACCCCTCAATATTTCAGAGCCCAGAGGGTAGCTATGACCTCAACTCTAATGACCCTGACCCCATGCCCCACCCGGATGTGGAAAATGGCAACCACCATGGCACGCGGTGTGCAGGAGAGATTGCTGCTGTGCCCAACAACAGCTTCTGCGCAGTGGGTGTAGCCTATGGGAGCCGCATAGCAGGTAACTTGGGCTTCCCACTAGCCTTGGAGGGCTTTTCCTGTGGCCACAGTGGTCATTCCCTGCTCTGCACCCCCATTGTGTAACTTTATTCCATCCCAGTATTCACAACCTGGAGCAAAGGATAAGCTCTTAATAGGACACCTTAGCTCATTGATTTTTCAAACATGTTTTCTTAGCAGCAAACCCCACTCTATAAAACAGATAAAAGTAGAGATGCTCTTGACAAGGGCTAGAGACTCAAGCCCCTGGTCAGTTTCTTCCTTTTTTCTGATGATGGCTATGCCCCAGTACTCATAACAACTCCTTCAACTAGACTACATTGTACTCATATTTTCATACGTTAAA